GTAAACAGACCAACAGTGACAGTATATGCTTTGTGTCTGCACTTGTATGGTTACGAGACTCCTGCAGAGGTCATGGAGACAATCTACAAAAAAGAGCTTTGAAGCATTTGGTATCTGGACTTTAAGGCAAACACAGTTATTTTCAAAGTGTGACCAGGTCGATTTAGAGCCTCACTGTGCACCCTTACACTTAAATCTATCCAAACAGCAAATAAAAACATAACCCGAGTGTTAAAATAATAGCAAACAAAGTGCAAAATGCATTAGTCACAGATGGGGTTTTAAACTGTACTCTGTAAAAGAATGGCGAATGACTTATACTGCCCCCATGTTCTGCCTCTTAAATGCAGACCTAGGTTGCTGGAGCTGGAAAGAGTACACTATGATCGTAAATAAAAAGAGACACATTTGGAACCTGCCCTCAGACTGAAGCAACAATTGTTCAAAGACAGGAAAATTTATGCCCATAACCACAAAATCAATCGATAAATATTTTGATTATTTCATAAACTTCATTCGAATAATTTTATTTGCTTCTCACCTGTAGAACAGACCTGATCGAGGATTTCTCAGAGTTTTCACTGAGCCACTTTCTACAGAGGACAATGGCGCCATTCATGCTTGAATAGAAAGTGGTGCCACAAATGCAAAGCCTCTATACGCCTCCTCCTCCTCACACATTCAAAATAACACAGGCGTCATATAAGAACTCCTGGAGGTGGCATGATGCAGAGTAGATAACTAGACCATTAGATAACCATACTGCATTGAAGCATCACACCACAAAAAACGGTCCAGGACTCTACATGAGGAAAATAAAGAGCAGGCTTATATATTAACAAGCCTGTCAGCGTGGCCTTAGTGTCCTCCACTTCAGTACCTCTGAGTGGGTATGCTTACATTTCCCCTCAGTCATACATATTCATTATAATTTTCTTGAGTGAGACTTTCCCTTCTTAGGAAACCCCTTATTTAGACTGTGTGAAGTCTTTACTGTAAAAAGGGAATTGAATAATCAAGCTCACCCAGGCAGCGAGAGAACGGCTGTTTACAGGATAACTTGAAGCAAATCAAATTAGAAATGTAGTAAATATGTGGTTTAAAAATGGCATTTGGGCAATCTGAAATGCCTGGCAGATAAATGATTCCATAAATATAGCCATTACAGCACAATGCCAGAAACATCAATAGCTTTTTTTTTTATTATTATTATCTTATGTTGGGCTTTTTTTTTCAGTCCACTAGAGGAAACCAGACCTATAAGTATTGTTTGTAGTGTGGATACAGCTATTGCTTGTTTTAGAGAGGCAGAGGTAATGCTGTAAACATCGCTTGTTTACGGAGTTTTGATCATTTTTCCAACAACTCTTAGGTGCATCTATCAGCTTTGCCGTTTTAAGAACAGCACAGCGCAGGTTTGCAGACTTGAAATGGCCCCAATTCCAAAAATCCAAAATACTGCACTTGACGTTTTACTTCGCTACATCTTCTCATCTTTTTCCTACTTCCAGTACGATCCTTTGATCTTTCACTTCTATCTTATAAGCCTGACAGAGAAGAGTTAGGATACAGCTGTGTATCAACAGCAGAGCACACAAGGACACTACACAAGGTATGTAACACAACACCCCCTCTAAAACCCTTCGTCACCCTCAAACCCCCCGTTTCCATTTCCTCCTGTGTCTCTCTCAGAGTTTCCACCTCTGTTTCCTTGCCCGTGATTCCAGGTTCCCAGTACCGCCACAGAAAGCTGACCACCGCCACCACGCCAGCTATGCATCCTGTTTCTGACATATGCCAACTTAGCCTGCTGCACTAGTCAGCTGAACACAGATCCAGTTTCCCCTTCTTAATACCCCTAACAAGCCTTTTCCCTCAGCAGCCAAGTGTCAAGCCTATCAAAGTCACCTAACGGGATGACTCTGCCTTCCACACACAGCAACACAAAAACAAAGGGAAAGTACGAGCACTAACTAAGATACACGCTCTCATTTTTTGCTATTTCTCCTCATTTGCAAGATATAAGATGCAAACAGATACTGACTAACAGTCACAAGATGGATACCTAATTATATTTGCATGGTTTGTTTTCATCACTTTCTCAGCGGGATGGTGAGAAGTATGAGGGAAGACATATGGTTTGATGCCATTTCTTACACCAGGATCCATGAGCACAACTAAATGACAGAATCCTGACAGCTAATACTGGTGTAGAAAATGTATTTCTATTAACAGGATACGAACCACAGGCTTTCAAGGTGGCTGTAATTAAACCGTCTCAGCTAACTATAGAACATTCTACAATCTTCCTCTTATTTCTAAAATCCTTGAAAGAGTGGAAACAGTAAACAGATTATTTGCAGAGGAATGGTATATTTGAAGAGTTTTAGTCAAGATTTAAAGTACATGGTAGCATAGAAACAGCACTAGTGAAGGTTATAAATGATCTGATTGCCTTTGACAGTGAACTCATCTCTATGCTCGTGTTGTTAAACCTCAGTGTAGGATTCAATACAGCTGATCATATCATTTTAATACAGAGACTAGAATGCATTATAGGTATTAAAGGAACTACACTATAATGGTTTGAATCATATCTATCTGGTAGACTCCAATTTGTTTATGTAAAAAACAAAAAGTTAGTCATGGAGTTCCACAGGGTTCTGTACTGGGACCAATACTATTTAAATTATAAAACACTGCTTTATTTATTTCTCTATAAAGCCAGTTGTTTTAACACCTGTTAAACAACAGGTGTGTCTTAAAGACAAACATCTGGATGAGCTCCAATTGTCTTCTCAAGTCAGACATAACTGGTTATTATATTTGGAACTAAACATCTTAGAAACATGGTGTTTCACGTATCGTGGATGGCAGTAACCTCCAGTAACAGTGTGAGGAATCTGAGTCATTTTTGATCAGAATATGTTATTCAATGTTCACATTAAACAAATATTTAAAAATGCTTCCTTTCACCATCGCAATAGCTCTAAAATTAGAAATATCCTGTCTTGAAGTGATGCTGAAAACCTATTTCATGCATTTGTTACTTCTAAGGTAAACTACTGTTATTCACTATTATCAGATTATTCTAAAAGTTGCCTGAAAAGCCTTCAGTTAATCCAAAGCACTGTAGTTAGAGTACTGACAGCAACTACAAAGAGAGCATATTTTTTCCACATATTGACTTCTCTTCATTGGCTCCCTGTTAAATGCAGAATCAAATTTAAACTCCTTCTCTCCACATACAAAATTTTTAAGAATCAGAACCCATCATATTTTAAAGACCTCATAGCAGTATATTATCCTAATGGAGCACACCGCTCTCAGACTGCTGGCTTGCTTGTGATTCCTAAAGTAGAATGGGAGGTAGAGCCGTCAGCTTTCAGGTCCCTCTTCTGCGGAACCAGCTCCAAGTTTGGACTTGGGAGACAGACACCTTTTAAGATTAGGATTAAAACTTTCCTTTTTGATAAAGCACATATTTAAGGCTGGATCGGTTGTCTTTGAGACATCCTTTAGATATGCTGTAATAGGTTCCAACTCCTGTGAGACACTGAGCATTGATTTATTTACCACTGACGCATATCATTACATTTTTGTCCTCTCTCTCCCTTGGAGCAGATAGGAGTAAAACACACTTTTCTCTTCCTGAGCCTGGTTCCACAAGTGAGATCTTCCTGTTAAAAGGGAGTTCTTCCTTTCCACCCCCATAAAGCCCTTGCTCATCAGACATTTGATTATTGGAATTTGCTTCCAAATAAATAGAAACCCAACAGTATTGTGATTGTGATTTGGCTCTATATTTAAAAAAAAAAAAATAAACATTAATTGAATTTAAGGGTGCAGCTCTTTATGTCCCATTTTATACCAGTCCTTATAAGAAAGAGATACAGGCAGGAAAGGGTCAAGTCCACCAAAAACACATGATAGCAGAGCAGTGGGAGTGAGAAGGGTCATTCATTTGAATATCAAGGACAAAGGATATCACTCTCACTCTCTGTTCTATCTGTCCATCAACACAAAAACATCCTCTTTCCCCCCAAATTCTATAAAACCGCTGAAGACAGATCGGCAGCATGACTGCACTTGCTTTCTTGTATTTGTTCTTTGGATTAATATTAACATATCTCCCATGGCAAGTAAGCATCGTAAAATAAAATACTGTAAGCCGTGTTTTGCACACTCTGCGAATTACTTTTAAAACACCCCTCTGTTCAGGGGACCACTTGGACTATACACAAGTGTGTGAGTCACGTATGAAGCTGCCTTTAATACAAATGTGAATCAGCCATGATTCATCTACCCCCAGCAAAGTAATGGGCAGTCACCCTTATTATACCGTTTCTATATTAGTCCTGCAGACAGGTTACCTTCATCATGCCACGAAAATATTTGATGTGCAGCACAAACACCTAGTGTAAACATTTAGGAGGATAAATGCAGGGGGGAAAGGATCCAAAATTGAAGAGGGCACGCTATCTCAATCTTAATGTCCATGAGAAGTCCCAGTGGACTTCATTAGGAGTGCAGGATCATATGCGTGGTTACATAAAACTAGTGCATGCCATGTGAAATCCACACTTTCACCTGAGAACTTAGCAGCTGACATGGCATGAGGATACTTTTGTGTTTTGCTAAAGCTAAATAAAATGAAGGAACTGCTCTCCTCTCATCCCACCCATAGCTGTCATGCAACATCACCCCCTTCATTCAGGAGTGGGAGGTAGTAAACAGCCAAAGGACAATAACAATCATGCTGAATTCATTCTAAAGGCGCTTCAATCGGCACAGCACTCCGGGGTATGCAGAAGATGTACATAAAAAGGAAACCATCAGATTCAGCCAAGGGAAATGCAGCTTGCGTTATGAAAGCCATTATAGAACAAGAAGTCAGGTCAGTGCCATAGAAATACACAAGGATGTGTATAGCATGTGCATCAGTGATTATGTACGAGCAAATTCAGAAAGAAAGACTGTTGATGGGCCAGCAGACATACCTTGTTTTTAATGTTGCAGTGACAGCAAACAGTCCACAGATATTTGAGGGTCCTCCATAGCAGAATGATGAAGAGACCCCCAAAAAACGTCACCATGGAGGAGGCGAGGAATGCCCACCACATGCGCTGGCCATTATTGTCGCAGGGCACCTCGGACGAGTACGGGATGACAACGTCTGCCATCCTCGATATTAAGATCGAAGAGTCCGGATTTATGTTATTATTGATATTGCTTGTCCTCATAGAGCTGTCGCTTCCATGGGGAACCGTGCCATCTGCCTCAGCTAGCATTTAGGAGCCTTGGAGAGCCTGTGCCAGCGTCCCCAGCCCCACTCACCAGCCATATTGCTTGGGAAAAATAAAAACAAATCTCCCTCTTTGCTGTAGATTATGTTAACCCACCCGATAAAGTCTCTTTCCGTTTTTCACAAGCCTGTGAATTGTTTGTTCGTGACAGAAGGAGACACGGCACACGCGAACCTATCCAAAACAGCGGGTCGGTGGCCTTTGGCGAGAGGCATTTAAATCCGCAATAATGACGAATCTTAGGCGCTTCTCCTTCCGAGGGGGTTCTCTGGCTCTTTCACGCAATATGCCATGGCAGAGACGGCATCGTTTGCAGCCGTCGAGGCTGCCACTGATATTTCGGTTAATGTAAACACAGCGCCGGGGAAAATTGTTGCAGCCCAATCTCAGCGAGTCGACCTCTAGCCGTCTTCCATTCAGGTATCCTGTCGATTCACAGGCGGAGAATCGATTTCATTTTCTTGAAGCGTTAATCGAATGTGAGAGGACTGGAAAAGAAAAAAAAGGTTGGAAAAGCTGGGGAGAAAGTGCACATGAATCTAATTTAATTCTAGAGGTGTGTAGCTGTCACTGCAGAGAACAAGACTGTTTTCTTGCGGGCGTTTTCGTTGTCAATTCTGCGTAAAAGGGCTGGCGCTCGGGTGGTTATCGCTGTCTCCATTCGGTCCCCTGCAGCCCTGGCACGGAGCGGCCAGCTGAGAGCGCCTGTCAGATCCGCTCCAGAGGAGAGCGGGGAGATTTACAGGTAGGAGGGCGGAGCGAAGCGCTAATAATAAAGACGGACAGAGGGCAGAAATACCGTTTATTCCAAGTACCGACCGGAGTCCGCTGCTCGGACGTATAAAGAAGAAGTGGGCTACAGTTGCGCCTTTGCGTCTTTATTGCACGCCAGTGACGCACGTCGCAAAACAAGCAGGGATTTTAACAAAGGGACTGTGTTGATCAGCCACAAACTTCAGTATCCTGATTAACATAAAAAAAACAACGATAACCACTCCCACCCCATCCCCACTGGGTTCTTATACAAGGCAGCATAAAACAGCCTGTATGGATATTATTGTAATGAGTGTTCATTAAGGATAGTGCTCCTTTTTCAATTACTGAGTCTGTGGATTTTCATCTATGCATGGTTCCCATTTAAAAAACTGAACTTGGGCCACAGGATAAATGCCCCTCCCAATTACTGTAATATGCTTAGGCTTTTAGCTCACATATTGGGTCAAAAACAGGTGTGGATTGGTGATGACGGCAAGCTATGACTAGCAGTAGTTTATGGCTGCCCTCAAGTAACCAGCCAGAGCAAAGGATATGTGGATACAGCTGGCTTAGGGCCCTGAATAACCACTGACCTCTCTAATGAGCAGCAGACAGGCAGGTGCACACAGCCACCTGTGTCACAAGGCTCCAGACTTCTTAGAGATCGTTTGCAATGAAGTCCCATCAAAATGTCTTTCATAATACTTAACTTTAGCTGACAGCTCAGCCAAAGGTTTCTTCTGGACTGCGATGATTGCAATGCCCGGATTAGCAAAGATCAAGGAAAGGAATATTAACAAGTGTTGCTCTAAGCCAGTCATTTTAGGGAATGAGTTTCACCATACAAATCCCTCATGAAGCCTGGTGGTATGAGACCTAATGTCAAGCACAGATTGTTTGAAAAGGTAAACATGCCGATGCATGTGAAGAAGACGTGTGGTAAACTGGAAATATCAGTGTTTCAAAAACAAAAGCACCTGTAAATGCTACAAATCTGTTAAACTGGTGTAAAACACTGAAGACAAAGCTGTCTGTAAATGACAGCACTGCAGAGTTATGACTGTCTGCAGAAGCGCCTTGCAGAACAACACTTTACCCACCTTTGGTTCACATATTTAATAAGAGTAAAAGAAAAAGAGTAGCAACCTCCAAGTTTTTTTGTTGTTGTTGTTTTTTCTTAATCTTGTGATTTCCTATTTCCTTCCTTTATTTACACCAAGTTTGGTGAGAATCAGACAGGACAAATGTTAAAGCACACCTTTATTCAAGCAAGATTTGATCAGCAAGTCCTCAGCCTGGGACATAACTGTTCAAGTACAGGCATTAATCCACAGCTCTGAAGTCGTCCTCCTGCTGGTAAAACAGTGAACTGTCCCATTAAAGGCAAATGATGCTGCCCCACATTAGGTCTGCCATCATGATGCACTGCCAGGAAGCAAAAATGTTGCTTGAACTCAGGGTAGACTGGTGAAATGATAATAACTTTTAATAAGATTTCAAATGCCTTCAGATGAAAATATGTATTAATGCTCATTTTATAATACCTGGTTGTCAAATCTCATGAAAAAAAAGAAAGCACCCATAGCACATGTCCCATAATAAATAGTGCTGAGGGTTATACTGTTAGAGGGAGCTTCAACTGGTCTTTCCTGATGAAAGGCCAGCTGTTAGGTGAGTGGTTCCTGTGGGCCAGCAGAACTTTCACTCAAGGATGACGAGGCGGACAGACGATGGGATTGGCATTAAAGCAGTCAGGTGGTAATCTGCAGGACATTTTGGAGATGCTGAAGTCAACATGCCGGAGAACCAAAAGACGGCCAATCGAACAAATCCATCCCACCGAGCGTAAAACATGCCATCTCACTTCAACAACGAGATGTGACGTGAGCCTGGAAAGGCCACGGCTCACCAGTGCGGACTACAAAGATCCTTCGCTGTCAGACTTCAGACTTATCGTGTTCAGTTGAGCTGTCAGCAGCTGTCTTGAAACAGACACCCCAGCAGGAAGGTTGGAGACCATACTCCTTTCTAAAACAGGCACGAGGAGACTTGGAGGACATAAAGATCTTGGGCACTGCATAGTAGAGCTGCACATAAAAGTCTATCAGATTTAGGGAGTAATTTGAGGCCAACATCTCGAACAACATTCTCCGGAGAGCATTTTCACTGCCATGTTTATTCTCACCATTGTACAACTACAGCACATGGCCTGATATCAGAATCAGAATACTTTATTAATCTCTAGGGAAATTATATTGCTGATTATGCAGAATCAGTGCTGGATGTTTTTTGAGACACTGGGCGCTCTCTTGCCTCAAGGAATCCAACAGGCAGCTGTAGGGTGGTCACTCGCTGTGATATTATTGGTTAGAGGGCCACATGAACCCGGATGAAGAGCTCAGAGGTATCAGACTACAGTAGCTGCAGAATTCCAGCTGCATGGAACATGATTCTCATATCTTATATAGATCTGGACTATTTGTTCATTTTTGTAAGGAACACCTTGTTTTCCAAGCAAAACTCTTGTTTGTGTTAAAGAAATTATAGTGAAGTCTTGGTACTTGTCTTTAATGGAAATCTGATTGATTTTTTAAAAATCCAACATGAAAGAAAAGATGCTGGTAGAATGTAAGAATTCAGTGCCAGATTGGCCAGCATAAACATCAAGATTACACGGGTCAGTCACAATCAGATGGCAACACTGGGCTTAACAGTGTAACACAATGATAATTACAATAAATAATATCATTTTATACTAGCTGGTGTTCATAATATACCCAGTGATAAAGTTCAATTCTATACAAATATCAGCGCTCCAAATTATGATGTAACACACTTATGTCCAAAAGAAGGTGAGATCTTTGTAGTAATCTAAGAAAAATCACTTTTAGCAGTTTGATTCATCGTGTAGTGATTTACACATTCCCAAAAGATCCACAGTTTGATCCCAGGGAGACACAAATCCCATTGGATTGTGTCAAGAAAGTAGCCTAGAAGTTTGATGTAGCTCTAAAGGTCTCTGAACCGTTTTAATCAGGTAGTCGTATTAAGTGCCTCATGTTTCTGTATTTGATAAACAACCAGTTTCTCAAAATTTAGGAGAAAAAAAAAAATATTGGTGGATATAATGGAGCTGCCTTTACAAATGACCTGGATCAAACCAATTTGCATGACTTGTCTCATGCTGCTCATACTGCTGCTTTTATGCCACTGAAATGACGCTGAATTGTATACTTTTCTTAAGTTCCAGGCAGATATTTTCCAATTGCCTTTTCTCATCTCTGAAACCATTTCATCTGCTAATTTCAGTAAAACAAGATCCCTTTTGTCCTTAAACATCTCTGTAGGACATGGCTGCATTTTTAGTGGCGCATTTGCTCTCAGCTCTCCTTTAAACCATGATCCAAAACATGAAGATGAGACTGAGAAGCATGCTGAAAATCGTACATGTTGTACCAACATATTTTCTTTGATACTTCCCAAACATAAATAGTCATTTAACCAAAAAAAAAAAAAAAAAAAAAAGACTCAATGAGCCCATGTTGTGATACAGAAAATGAGCTTTATTCTCATGTTAATGTCTTAACATACAAATCACATTCTTTTTAATAAAAGAAAAATTCAATCAGTACCTGGCATCTACACTCTTTCTCTACAAGTACAACCACTTCACGTTGTGTCCTGCTCTCTAAACATACGCTACCTACTCATAAAAATAGTAACATTACAGTTTGCTTCTGTTTACTCCTTTAGCCCAATAGTCAAACACGTGGACCTTTTTGTTTTGTTCGAAAAACTGTGCAAGAGTAGATCCCTTTTTAATATTTCAAATAAGAAGTGATCCTTTCCCCCTAATTACGAATAAAAAGGCCATCAATGAAATGTAAGGAACTGATGTGATACATAAAAACATGAATTAGCCACAACAAAAATTAGAGTACCTATTCATAATCTGCTGGAAACCTAAGAACAGTGACATGTTTAAGGTTCACAGAAAAAACAAGTGCAAAACAGAAATAAAGGATAAAGTTGACTTAGTGGATTTTGGCACAACAAGATACAGGATATGGTTTGATGGAAGGGCAGAATATCTGTAGTCAATATTTTTTGCTTCTTGAATAACAAAAAAATAAAATAAAATTAAATAACAATGAAAAGTCAGTAACATTTAAACGGATCAGAGGAAACTCCAATAAGACATTACCCTGCAAATTTTGCTTCATAGTGTCTCTGAATGAGTACGTAAGTGACTGGCAACGAACCACAGAGAGAAAAAGAGTCTTTAAAAAGAAACATTAAAAAAGAAAAACACATGCTAATACCTGCAAAGACGTGACTTGACTGCCAGACGTTCCTAGGCATATGACCTAGTGAAAATACATGAACTATATATTTATATATATATATACTTATATATATATTTTTGCTTGTTTTTTTTCTGTATCTGCATACTGTATAAGGTATACTCTATAGTGTTGTTAAATATATGTTAAAGAGAGAATGATAGTTACACAGTGGTCTGTCTAGCCCTGGAGTGCATTCTGAGGAGTTGACCCGTTGGTCGCCGCTTCGACCTACCCTCCAAACCTCGCCATTGTCATGCGCTCTACATAGTACTGGTCTCAAATCAGCCTCTGAATCATCTAGTCCACCACGGGTGAAATGATACATCGGATCCAGATTAGAAACTCAGAGAAAAAAAAGAAAGAAAGAAAAGAAGAAAAAAAATCCTCAGCTTTCTGGCTAAGTGATCAAGGGCTGGTTTCAGATCAGGCCTTTTCTCCGAAGGCACTTCCGAAAGGCCCGTAAGCTGTCCACACACCCAGCTACTACAGAAACACAATGCATAGAGCAAACATCAATGTGTTTAGAGTTTTGATGGCCATCACTGCTGAGATGGGCTCAGTAAGACCACAGCTACATACTTCAAGAGGTTTGATACTTCTTTTCTTTTTTTTTCCTTCTTTTTTTCCTGTTTTGTGATGAAACACCACGCGAATGTGATGTCTGATCCTGGCATTACATTTCTATAGCATAGTATCAATGTGATTCAACTCATTTGAAATTGTCATTACAATTGTGTACAACAGTCTCAATGTTGCTTTTTTTCCCCCTCTCCACACTCAAACTCACACGCACACACATACACACACACACACACAATACA